ATTTTTTGAAGCTTGTTAAAGTGGTCATTAATGATAATAGGGTTTGCCTTCTGTGCATGGGCCTCATTCAGAGCTTGCGGAACACGAAATGAAAGTTCCGGATGGTTTTTCAGGAAGAGCCACCACCATTTTTACCCTGGTCCACTTTTTTTAAAAGGATGGGGTCGCTTGTCCCGACAAACAATATCTATCACGTACTGGCTTACACCAGACCTTGTTAACCCAAAGCTGAGCCTCTGCATATTTAAACAATAACCAACCAGCTGTTCCTCTTCATGGTTGGTTAGGATTTTAGCACAGCCTGGGTGGGGAAGAGGACCATCATTTTTGATGGCACGCCTAAGGGTAGCTTCGGAAATATCATAGTCCCGTGCAATACTTCTGGTGCTTGGAATTTTAAATCTACTTGGGGTACCCTTAAGTGTCTGAAGGGCATTATTAATAGCATCATGTCGGGTATTATGATCACTGTACTTTGTCATAGTTTTATTTTTGATAATAAACTAGTTCTTTGTTTTTATCATAATACGAAAGTTTAATCGTTTATAATTATTGGGTTCAACATTTTTATAACTATCGGGTTCAATGTTTTTATTACATTTAACAAGCTGTTTTGAGATTGCTATGTAGCATTACATGTGCTAATTTGTAAATATTTACATGATTGAAAACCATTGATCTGAATTAAAGTTTAATTTTACGTTTCTTTTAAGATCGCACAATTAAAAAACAAAACTTTATTGCTTATTGCGATAATAATTTATATAGAGCTTATTAGAAATAACTTTATTTAATGTATGCGTGTCAGTTATTTAGTACGAAAGGCCGATTTCAACATGTTACGGTTACCTCTTCCAGAATTCATGAATCTATCTGGGCGAGAAAAGTAATGTAGATCACTTAAATGATAATATCTTACATTCTAGTAATTAGAATCATATGATTTTGGTTTTATTTGACTCGTCTCGTTGAGACGAATCAAATGGTACCGGAATCATGTGATTCCAATTACCAGAACGTAAGATATTGTTAATGCGTCAAATTGAGCACTGCGTCAAAATAGGAATACTTACCTTATATTGTTTAAAAAAATTTTAAAGTTGGTCAATTTTTTTTAAAAAAAATTAAAAATTTAAAATTTTTTTGATATATTCTAAATTAATCAATTATAATTAAATATTTTTTTATATTACTATACAAGTACCTTAGTGTAATATTGATATATAAATCTATAAAATTTTAACTATAATTATTATATTAAAAATAAATTATAATAAAAGAAAAATTACTTATTTAAATTAGTTTACTATATAAAAAATTAGTAATTTTATATAGTAAAATTGATAATACTTATATAAAAAAATTAGTAATTATAAAATTTTTTTAAAATTTAAAAATTTTATTTATATTTATATATATAAAAGAAACCTTCTAACATATATTTTATATTTATATTATTTAAAAATATATTATAGGATGTGATGACTTAGTGAAGTGAATAAGTTTTCAACCTTCAAATAGTAGGTTGTAAGTTTAAAACCTACTGATAATGAAAATTTGAATAATTACCTATGTAATACATAAATGATATTATAGTGACAGCATTCTGTTGATCAGTTGAGATAGAATACCTATAACTATGATTGCACCAGCATGACTGGCAGGTCATAGAAAATATGTAACTTTGGTTACACAGAAAAATACAAACTGGTACTAGGTAGTGTAAAGCTAAGATAAGTCCTTGTAGCTATATAAATTTATAAAACTAGAAAACCAAAGCCTATTTGGAAAGACCTAAGTAGAAAGGTAACATGGATCTTTAATAATACTACTGTAAAGGCTAGACCTAAAAAACAGATACCAATATGAAGAAGCCAAATAGGCAAAAACTTTAGATAAGGGATACTGTCAACCAGACTATCAGAACTGAACTAGAAGAAAAAGAATATTGAGTTAGCTTGATATACTAAGGACAGATTACAGTTTCATCAAGCTATCTAGATTAGGAGTCTGAAGTCAAAGCAGAGATATATTATCCCTTAGATTGTAACACAGGCAAATTTGCCTGCGTTAATTTTTTTAAAATTAATTTTTATAATAAAATTTT